TGTTATACCGAAGAGAAGAGTCTCGTCTGCGGGGGTAGATAGCTACCCGACTCCGTGTATACTTCGGTAACAAAGAGATTGCAAATCAGATTCAATAAAACGCCGCGCGCTCACATATTCCGTGGTTGAACTCTTACTGAGTTTTCTGTAACCATAGGACTGTGCCCCCTGAAGCCACGACTACTCTCACCAAGCCGCTCACTCTAGAGCATTAGAAGCCGGTTCAAGAATGGTATACACAGATAGAAATTATTAGGGGGATTTGATAATTATATTTAAGTAATTCATCGAGTCTGAAAGAAATCTCAACAAAATGCAGAAAGCACTGGACGGCCGTTTCGTCCTATATTTGGGACTCATCAGCAGTGCGCATCCACTACCGAGAATTGAAACCCTGATAGTTAGGTTGTCAAGCAAACATCATACTAACTCTGTGTGTGTGTGTGTGTGTGTGTGTGTGTGTGTGTGTGTGTGTGTGTGTGTGTGTGTGTGAAAATATATAGAAAATAGGAAAGAACTCGTTAGGTAAATACTCAAAAGTTCTTTAGTATTTTCGTTATTATTTTTAAAAACAGTGCTCGATACAAAAGTAGAGCCTAAATATAATTAGAATATATATAGAGAGAGAGTGAGAGAGAGAGAATAATATATATATGTGTGTGTGTGTGTGTGTGTGTGTGTGTGTGTGTGTGTGTAAAAATATATAGAAAATAGGAAAGAATACGTTAGGTAAATAATCCAAAGTTCTTTAGTATTTTTGTTACTGTTTTTAAAAAATAGTGCTCGATACAAAGTAGAGCATAAATATAATTATTTATTTAAAAATATGATTCCATCGCTACATAAGAGTTGTCATGTTTCAAAACAAGAGCCGAAAACTTCAGTATAATTATTTGGATTAAATTGAATTAAAGTACCAAGCTCTGTTCCATCTTCAAGCGAAATGTTTTTTGGAATAACTAATTCTTTAAATTTACGCGTTTTTATAAGCATATTCCTTATTAAAATTAAAATTACTATGATAACGGTTAGAGCAATTATTTAAAAAAAGGGGGGGCGTAAGAGCTAATAATTCGTATCAATATCTCAGTTACATTCAAATAGGTAAGTCAAGTCACACAAATATATATTCATATATATATATATATGTGTGTGTGTGTTCATCGAATCATTTGAACCCAATAGTAATATACTTAATCTGAAAAATGACATTAGAGAATCCTGAATATATATATATATATATATATATATATATATATATATATATTTCTTGTTGAATATTGAATATTGCTGCCATATCTTGTCTGGTGCATCTACTATATATAAATCGAGATCCTCGACAAAATTCAAATAAGGGTCTGTAATGTTGTCAGTCCTAACCTGGCATCTCGACTTCAGCAAATTCCCTCTGAGTTTTCTATAAATATTTTCATGCGTTTTAATCCCTGGTCCCTCGACCGCAAGGACTTAAGCGTGCTACTCGATTAGCAATTCGGTCTTAGCGTTTTCCTATTGAAATAGCTAGATGCAACCGTAAGTTCTATTCTAATAGTTTCTTCTCTCGTACCTACCGCCTGTGGAACTCCCTTGCGGTTTCTTGGTTCCCTGTTACCTATGATCTTCAAAAAAATTAAATGCAACGTCAATCGACATATTCTGTCTTCCTGGATGTGTTTTTTTAGTGTCCTTTCTCATCAGTAGAGTCGTTTCATTTCCTTCAATCTCCAGTAACTACACCATCTTGCATTTTACTGGCATTATCGCCTTATTTCAGCCTTTACGTGATAGGACGACTTGCGTGCTTCAACGACCATTAGAGCTATATGGGTGGGGACTTCGGCCCATAGCAGACCCCAACCAACTCAACTTTGAAGTAGGAGACAGACGAAAGATACACCCTGGTCCTCCAGCTTGAGTGTTGCGCTAACCCAATCTACTCATTTAAAAACTAGCTTGTTACAGAAACCTCAACAATATCTTCAAACAACGACATGGCCGGGGAAGAATCCTGCAATGTAGAGCGTATGACGCGTGCTGGTGAAAATCGCCCGGAAAGTTAGCCAGCAAAACATAGGCCAAGCTGAAGAGGATCAGCCGGAACCATATCTGTTCTTAGAGGTGTTGTCGCGGCCTTATGTTTCCCAAGAAATTAACAGGCACTAATGAATCGCCTTACCTGGGAGGAAACGGTTAAATCTCAGTCTACAGAATTTTTCGGAACTATTCCCTCTGCGTAAGGAGAGAGAAAAAGATCGACCGCTTAAAATAAATAGCTGCCGTTTGTTTTCATCTTGATAGGACACCAAGTGAATGTGTATTTGAACTTAAGTCCACCTCAGACCTCAAGTAGGAGCACTGCTAAAGCTTCTGCAATAATGCTAATATATTTACAAGATTCAGATCAGACCAAAAAATGAAGTCATATCTAGGTTGGAGCTTTTCACGCCTTAGCATATTACACAGTCTTGGGGGTGATGAATAACTTTCCACACTACAGCCCCTTTTCCACAGAGGTAACGTTGCAAGCCTCTCACTGCTATTTCCATGGCAAATGTTTTGACAAGCTGCAGACCTTAGTTCGACCAGTTCTGACCTTGGCAGCTTATAGCCGCCATGTCACGTGAGCAAAGTCGAATCGCCCTCATTTCCTTCATGTTCCACTGGTGAGAAGGAAATTCTCTTCGGGCAGCTTATTCCCCAAAAGAGCTGCCTTGTGGAACCGGCACACGAGATTACGCTTCTCGAATCGCCATAATTCTAACCTCTTCAAGACTCGTGCCAACCGTTATGTACTTCTAGGAACCTCAGTTCTTAACTCCCTACCTTAAGTTGCTCTTGGGCCTTGTATAGGTTGAACAACAGTAAAAAAAAAATTCGCGCCGGTTTTCATCCTAACTGGTCAGACATTCAACAATTCTTACTTTAGATTTCGTTAATTATTTATTTCATTATCATCACCATGATCATCAGTAGCAGCGATAGCAGCAGCAGCGATAGCAGCAGCAGCGATAGCAGCAGCAGCAGCGGCGACAGCAGCAGCGGCAGCAGCAGCAGCAGCGGCAGTGACAGAAGGAGCAGCGACAGCAGCAGCAGTAGGGCAGCGACAGCAGCAGCAGCAGCGACGGCGGCAGCAGCGATAGCAGCAGCAGCGATAGCAGCAGCAGCAGCAGCGGCGACAGCAGCAGCAGCGGCGACAGCAGCAGCAGCAGCGGTAGCAGCAGCAGCGGCAGCAGCAGGAGCAGCGACAGCAGGAGCAGCGACAGCAGCAGCAGTAGGAGCAGTGACAGCAGCAGCAGTAGGAGCAGCGACAGCAGCAGCAGCGATAGCGGCAGGAGCAGCGACAGCAGCAGCAGCAGTCATTGGCTTTTGTAATCGTAAAGCGGATTCGAATGGAGAAGCCACACTAACTGTTTTCCAAAACGCTCTCTCAACGGCAACCATCAGCAATTCTGGTACAGTCATACCTGTCTAATGTTTGATCTTCTCTAACCAATTTTTGCGCTGGCATCCTCTCCTACATCCACCTTCAAGGATCCTCTTGCACAGGCTGTCGTGCCATGTAATGTGTCCATACCACGCCGTTTTCCTCCGTTTGACAGTGGTGAGAAGAGCTTCCTGTTGGCCCACAAGACTATTAAAGCTTTTCCGTACATAACTTATTTCATATATAAAAAAAAAAATGATGTGGTATAAAATATAAGACGTAGTACATATTAATGCAGGCGTCCACCAAGTCTCGCTCTTTGGTCCTAACGTCTGTCGGATTTATAACTAACTATACCTCCAGTGACCCGTTGGGTGACTAACGATTCAGGTTATAAAACAATGAAGTTGATTTTAACATACCATTGAAATAAAAGTTAATTTTATTATGATTTAGTTAAATATTTTAATTCGTTTGTCTCATCCAATGGGTCTGGTTTACAAGTTCGTGTTTAACATTTTAATGATTGTTTGCATTATTTAATAGGAATAGAAATTCAGGGATAAACTTGAACTTTAAATCAGATTAAACTTAAATTTAATATGCACAAAAAAAAATTAATTCTATTCACTTGAAAATATTTTATTTAAATATGACAAAAAGTATTTTTCAAAAATTCAAAATATCGTTTGTTTAAAGAAAGCTGAAATCTAAATAATTACTTTACAAACAACTGGACGAAACAGCAAAGCGGCATCACTTTATGTCACTCTTTAACTTAAAATATTTCAATTAAAAAAAATACTTACTGTATGAACAATCGATATTTTAAAATACTATTTAATCAGATTAACTTCAATCATTATGCGCCGGACGGACGCACCACACAAGCACGCACGAAATCAGAGACTTTTAACGTATATATATATATATATATATATATATATATATATATATATATATATATATATACAATAAAAATATTAAAAAATTAAAGTTTTCAGACACACTGAGTTGTATATAAATATTCCTTCGTTTTTATTATTATTTCATTTAGATTCCTCGACTAGTTTCGGCCAACATGGCCATCATCAGGCGAAAAATAAATTTCTGCTTGCTGGTAGCAGTGAACTACAGAAAAAAAGAGATAGATAGATAGATAGATAGATAGATAGATATGCCTAAGAGCATAATATGACCTTTTAGTGAATATCTATACAACAGTATATGGGTGCACCTCCAAGAATTTAAATGACTGGCAGCTGATCTCTCCTCTGATTAGGCTCTATCAGTTCATTGGGTGGGTGGAACTGATTTGTCACATTGCATACCTAGAAAACCAAGCAAGTAACATTACTCTTCCTACCACTATTCCTCTCTATATTATGCATATCCCATTCCCCCTTCCTGCTTCCTCTGCCTTCTACTCTACTTTTATTTTCTAACTATTTATATTTCTTTCCTCCTATTTTCCTCTTCCCCCTACCTTCTTTTATTTATTTATTTTCTGTTTCCCTTTCTCTCTTCCTACAACTCTTCCATTCTGCCTCCGTTTTATCTTTTTATTTCTCTTTAGCATTTCCTACTACTCCCCCCCCATACCCGCAGTTTTTTTTCTTTCTGTTTCCCTTTCCCTCTTCCTACCACTGTCCCCACTTTCCTCTCTGTTTTGATTTTCTTTCTGTTTCCCTTTCTCTCTTCCTACCACTGCACCCCCTTTCCTCCCAGTTTTGATTCTCTTTCTGTTTCCCTTTCTCTCTTCCTACCCCTGCCCCACTTTCCTCCCTGTTTTGATTTTCTTTCTGTTTCCCTTTCTCTCTTCCTACCCCTGCCCCACTTTCCTCCCTGTTTTGATTTTCTTTCTGTTTCCTTTCTCTCTTCCTACCCCTGCCCCCCCTTTCCTCCCTGTTTTGATTTTTCTTTCTTTTCCCTTTCTCTCTTCCTACCACTGCCCCACTTTCCTCCTGTTTTGATTCTCTTTCTGTTTCCCTTTCTCTCTTCCTACCACTGCCCCTCTTTCCTCCCCTGTTTTGATTCTCTTTCTGTTTCCTTTCTCTCTTCCCTACCACTGCCCCTCCTTTCCTCCTGTTTTGATTCTCTTTCTGTTTCCCTTCTCTCTTCCCTACCTGCCCCCACTTTTCTCCTCCCTGTTTTGATTCTCTTTCTGTTTCCCTTTCTCTCTTCTTCCTAACAGTGCACCCCCCTTTCCTCCCTGTTTTGATTCTCTTTCTGTTTCCCTTTCTCTCTTCCTAACACTGCCCCCTTTTCCTCCCTGTTTTGATTCTCTTTCTGTTTCCCTTTCTCTCTTCCTACCACTGCCCCTCTTTCCTCCCTGTTTTTATTATCTTTCTGTTTCCCTTTCTCTCTTCCCCTCCCTGCCCCCCTTTCTTTCCTCCCTGTTTGTTATTTTCTTTCTGTTTCCCTTTCTCTCTTCCTACCACTGCCCCCTTTCCTCCCTGTTTTGATTCTCTTTCTGTTTCCCTTTCTCTCTTCCTACCACTGCCCCCTTTCCTCCCTGTTTTGATTCTCTTTCTGTTTCCCTTTCTCTCTTCCTACCACTACCACCTTTCCTCCCTGTTTTGATTCTCTTTCTGTTATCCTTTCTCTCTTCCTACCACTGCCCCCTTTCCTCCCTGTTTTGATTCTCTTTCTGTTTCCCTTTCTCTCTTCCTACCACTGTCTTCCCTTTCCTCCCTGTTTTGATTCTCTTTCTGTTTCCCTTTCTCTCTTCCTACCACTGTCCTCCCTTTCCTCCCTGTTTTGATTCTCTTTCTGTTTCCCTTTCTCTCTTCCTACCACTACCACCTTTCCTCCCTGTTTTGATTTTCTTTCTGTTTCCCTTTCTCTCTTCCTACCACTGCCCCCCTTTCCTCCCTGTTTTGATTCTCTTTCTGTTTCCCTTTCTCTCTTCCTACCACTGCCCCTCTTTCCTCCCTGTTTTGATTCTCTTTCTGTTTCCCTTTCTCTCTTCCTACCACTGCCCCTCTTTCCTCCCTGTTTTGATTCTCTTTCTGTTTCCCTTTCTCTCTTCCCACTGTTCTCTGTCCTCCCTTTCCTCCCTGTTTTGATTCTCTTTCTGTTTCCCTTTCTCTCTTCCTACCACTGCCCCCTCCTTTCCTCCCTGTTTTGATTTTCTTTCTGTTTCCCTTTCTCTCTTCCTACCACTGCCCCTTTCCTCCCTGTTTTGATTCTCTTTCTGTTTCCCTTTCTCTCTTCCTACCACTACCACCTTTCCTCCCTGTTTTGATTCTCTTTCTGTTTCCCTTTCTCTCTTCCTACCACTGCCCCCTCCTTTCCTCCCTGTTTTGATTTTCTTTCTGTTTCCCTTTCTCTCTTCCCTACCACTGCCCTCTTTCCTCCCTGTTTTGATTCTTTTCTGTTTCCCTTTTCTCTCTTCCTACCACTGTCCTCCCTTTTCCTCCCTGTTTTTTCTCTTTCTGTTTCCTTTTCTCTCTTCCTACCACTACCACCTTTCCTCCCCTGTTTTGATTTTCTTTCTTTTCCTTTCTCTCTTCCTACCACTGCCCCCCACTTTCCTCCTGTTTTGATTCTCTTTCTGTTTTTCTCTCTTTCCCCCTCCTTCTCTTCCTTGCCATTGCCCTCTTTCCTCCCTGTTTTGATTCTCTTTCTGTTTCCCTTTCTCTCTTCCTACCACTGCCCCTCTTTCCTCCCTGTTTTGATTCTCTTTCTGTTTCCCTTTCTCTCTTCCTACCACTGTCCTCCCTTTCCTCCCTGTTTTGATTCTCTTTCTGTTTCCCTTTCTCTCTTCCTACCACTGCCCCCTCCTTTCCTCCCTGTTTTGATTCTCTTTCTGTTTCCCTTTCTCTCTTCCTACCACTACCACCTTTCCTCCCTGTTTTGATTCTCTTTCTGTTTCCCTTTCTCTCTTCCTACCACTGCCCCTCTTTCCTCCCTGTTTTGATTCTCTTTCTGTTTCCCTTTCTCTCTTCCTACCACTGCCCTCTTTCCCTCCCTGTTTTGATTCTCTTCTGTTTCCTTTCTCTCTTCCTACCACTGCCCCCCACTTTTTGATTCTCTTTCTGTTTCCCTTTCTCTCTTCCTACCACTGCCCCCTCTTTTCCCTCCCTGTTTTGATTCTCTTTCTGTTTCCTTTCTCTCTTCCTACCCTGCCCCCCTTTTTGACTTTCCTCCCTGATTTGATTCTCTTTTCTTTTCCTTTCTCTCTTCTCTTTAGGTCCTGCCCCCCACTTTTTGATTCCTCCCTGTTTTGATTCTTTTTTCCCTTTTTGTTTCCCTTTCTCTCTTCCTACCCTACCCCCACTTTCCTCCCTGTTTTGATTCTCTTTCTGTTTCCTTTCTCTTCCTACCACTTTCCCCTTTCTCTTTCCTCCCACTGTTTTGATTCTCTTTTCTGTTTCCCTTTCTCTCTTCCTAGATGCCCCCTTTCCTCCCTGTTTTGATTCTCTTTCTGTTTCCCTTTCTCTCTTCCTACCACTGTCCTCCCTTTCCTCCCTGTTTTTCTATTCTCTTTCCCTGTTTTGATTTTTCCTTTCTCTTCCTACCACTGCCCCTCCTTTCCTCCCTGTTTTGATTCTCTTTCTGTTTCCCTTTCTCTCTTCCTCTTCACTACCACCTTTCCTCCCCTGTTTTGATTCTCTTTCTTTTTCCCTTTCTCTCTTCCTACCCCAGCCCCCTTTCCTCCCTGTTTTGATTCTCTTTCTGTTTCCCTTTCTCTCTTCCCTACCACTGCCCCTCTTTCCTCCCTGTTTTGGCAGGTTTCTGTTTCCCTTTCTCTCTTCCTACCCTGCCCCCACTTTTCTCTTTCTGTTTCCCTTTCTCTCTTCCCTACCACTGCCCTCTTTCCTCCCTGTTTGATTCTCTTTCTGTTTCCCTTTCTCTTCCTACCACTGCCCCACTTTCCTCCCCTGATTTGATTCTCTTTCTGTTTCCCTTTCTCTCTTCCTAACACTGCCCCCACTTTCCTCCCTGTTTTGATTCTCTTTCTGTTTCCCTTTCTCTCTTCCTACCACTACCCCCTTTCCTCCCTGTTTTGATTCTCTTTCTGTTTCCCTTTCTCTCTTCCTACCACTGCCCCCTCTTTCCTCCCTGTTTTGATTCTCTTTCTGTTTCCCTTTCTCTCTTCCTACCACTCACCCCCTTTCCTCCTGTTTTGATTCTCTTTCTGTTTCCTTCTCTCTTCCTACCCTGCCCCCACTTTCCTCCCTGTTTTGATTCTCTTTCTGTTTCCCTTTCTCTCTTCCTACCACTGCCCCTCTTTCCTCCCTGTTTTGATTCTCTTTCTGTTTCCCTTTCTCTCTTCCTACCACTGCCCCGACTTTCCTCCCTGTTTTGATTCTCTTTACGTTTCCCTTTCTCTCTTCCTACCACTGTCCCCCCTTTCTTCCCTGTTTTGATTCTCTTTCTGTTTCCCTTTCTCTCTTCCTACCACTGTCCTCCCTTTCCTACCTGTTTTGATTCTCTTTCTATTTCCCTTCTCTCTTCCTACCACTGCCCCTCCTTTCCTCCCTGTTTGATTTTCTTTCTAGTTTCCCATTTCTCTCTTCCTACCATACTGCCCCCCTTTCCTCCCTGTTTTGATTCTCTTTTCTGTTTCCCCCCTTTTCTTCTTCCTACCACTGCCCCCTTCCTCCCTGTTTGATTCTATTTCTGTTTCCCTTTCTCTCTCCTACCACTGTCCCCTTTCCTCCCTGTTTTGATTTTCTTTCTGTTTCCCTTTCTCTCTTCCCTACCACTGCCCTTTCCTCCCTGTTTGATTCTCTTTCTGTTTCCTTTCTCTCCTACCACTGCCCCTCTTTCCTCCCTGTTTTGATTCTCTTTCTGTTTCCTTTCTCTCTTCCCTACCATTGCCCCACTTTCCTCCCTGATTTGATTCTCTTTCTGTTTCCTTTTCTCTCTTCCTACCCTCACCCCCCCTTTCCTCCCTGTTTTTGATTCTCTTTCTGTTTCCCTTTCTCTCTTTCCTACTGCCCCACTTTTCCTCACTGTTTGATTCTCTTTCTGTTTCCCTTTCTCTCTTCCTACCACTGCCCCTCTTTCCTCCCTGTTTTGATTCTCTTTCTGTTTCCCTTTCTCTCTTCCTACCACTGCCCCCACTTTCCTCCCTGTTTTGATTCTCTTTACGTTTCCCTTTCTCTCTTCCTACCACTGTCCCCCCTTTCCTCCCTGTTTTGATTCTCTTTCTGTTTCCCTTTCTCTCTTCCTACCACTGTCCTCCCTTTCCTCCCTGTTTTGATTCTCTTTCTGTTTCCCTTTCTCTCTTCCTACCCTCTTCCCCCTCCTTTCCTCCCCTGTTTTGATTTTCTTTCTGTTTCCCTTTCTCTTCCTACCACTGCCCCTCTTCTTTTTCCTCCCTGTTTTGATTCTCTTTCTGTTTCCTTTCTCTCTTCCTACTACTGCCCCCCTTTCCTCCCTGTTTTGATTCTCTTTCTGTTTCCCTTTCTCTTCCTACCCTGCCCCTTTTCCTCCCTGTTTTGATTCTCTTTCTGTTTCCTTTCTCTCTTCCTACCACTGCCCCCTTTCCTCCCTGTTTTTATTCTCTTTTCTGTTTCCCTTTCTCCTTCCTACCCTGCCCCCCCTTCCTCCCTGTTTTGATTCTCTTTCTGTTTCCCTTTCTCTCGTCCTACCACTGCCCCCCTTTCCTCCCTGTTTTGATTTTCTTTCTGTTTCCCTTTCTCTCTTCCTACCCCTGCCCCCTTTTCCTCCCTGTTTGATTTTTTCTGTTTCCCTTTCCCTCTTCCTACCACTGCCCCTTTCCTCCCTGTTTTGATTCTCTTTCTGTTTCCCTTTCTCTCGTCCTACCCTGCCCCCTTTCCTCCCTGTTTTGATTCTCTTTCTGTTTCCTTTCTCTCTTCCTACCCCTGCCCCCCTTCCTCCCTGTTTTGATTTTCTTTCTGTTTCCCTTTCCTCTTCCTACCACTGCCCTCCTTTCCTCCCTGTTTTGATTTTTTTTCTGATTCTCTTTCTGTTTCCTCCCTTTCTCTTTTTCTGTCCTACCACTTCCCCCCTTTCCTCCCTGTTTGATTCTCTTTCTGTTCCTTTCTCCCTTCCTACCACTGCCCCTTTTCCTCCCTGTTTTGATTCTCTTTCTGTTTCCCTTTCTCTCGTCCTACCACTGCCCCCCCTTTCCTCCCCCCTGTTTTTGATTTTCTTTCTGTTTCCTTTTTCTCTTCCTACCCCTGCCCCACTTTCCTCCCTGTTTTGATTTTCTTT